GCATTCCTGCTCAGTCCTCGAGCGTCATACTGATGAGTCTCAGGCTCTGTGGAGCTCTGTTCAGCATCCACTGAAGTGAGACACTTCACCTCAGAGACCCCCAGCTTGCTGCCTAGATTTCTGTTCTGGCCTCCAACATACTGCATCATGACTCGTTACGGGTCTGAGATCCCACCTCCAACTCAGCCCTCTGAGCAGGGATCAGTACCTGCTCAGAACACAGTGCAAGGTAGGCACCACAAAATGCTTGTCAGATGCAGACAGAGGCACAGAGGCCCTACCCTCAGCATCTAAGAGAAGAAAGTTTTTATACCTTACCTGATCCTTGAGGTGCCAGGTTCCCTTTGCCGTCCAGGTAGGAAACATGAACTAGAACCAGGTCAGAGAGAGATGTCAGGCTGGGATTTTCCCCCTCATCACAACACCTACATCTCCAAATTCTACCCCATTCACCAGTCAGTCCAACACCACTGCTGACCACCCACCTGCTGTCCCCACCCCATGCAGGACCCCAGCAGCCACCTCTGACAGCTGTCTCAGCACAGCCTTTGGGGATGTTGGTAGCCAGGGCCAGCTCCACCAGGTTCACCTCTCGGTCCTCAGGAAAGTAGAGTTCACCCTCCCTGGCAGGGCGCAGAGGCAGTGCCTCCTGAGACCCATAACCACACACAGCCTAAGGAAAGGGGATTAGAGAGCAGCCTGAATCTAGGGAGGAAACAGGTACCATGAAGGGGCACTACTGCTAAAGACAGGGAACCTATGTCTGAGAGAAGTCTAGAGGTTCCCAAGAGAAGCAGAGGAAATCTGGGGCTCAGAGCCACTGCTAGGAATTTGGCTGGAGTATCCATGGCTTGCTGGGTCAAGGGGTAAATAAGTCCCCTCCTCATGGAACTGTAGAGGTTTTGAGCCCCACCCCTAAACTCCTGGCCCTCTCATTTGCACTTACCCAACTCTGAACACTCACTACTCTCTCCTAGTCACACTAATCTCTCAACACCATGCCCCAGAACAATATACAAAAACATGCTAACACCACACAAATGCTCAGTTCCTCCTTTACCCAGCATGCCTGTTTTTCTTCAGGATTACATTAAACTAGGTTCAAGTTCTTTGCCCTCCATAAGGCTTAGTTCATGTCCCATCTCTTCCAAGAAGACTTCCCTACCCTCGAGGTCCCCAGTGACCTCCTCTCTACTCTGTTCAGAACTCATACTACTATGGTCTGGACCCAGCACCTGGCATTTGTCCTGTTGTGGCCGTGTTTGGTCTTCATGTCTCATCATATCATTAACCCTGAGCTGAACACGGAGGTGAGTTCATGCTCATGCTACATGAGCCCTCTGTAGCCTGCACCCCTCTCACCTCCACACTGCTCCACCTGAGGGCCCTGTTGAAATCCTCAACAGTCAGCTTCCTCCGTTTCGTGTGCTTCATGAACTGAGAGCTGTTCTGGGAGGGCAGAAACAGAAGCCAGAGTCAGGACACAGGGAGGAGCCGGTGTGGAAACCCCCAAGCGAAATGGACTACACTGGGGAAGAGGCAAAGGAGACATCACACCAGTGATCATCTGCATTCCAGCCCAATTCCTACACAACAATCCATCTGGTGTCACATCTCACACGCAGAATGTGACAGTATAGCCACTCTGCCTGTGGGGCTGTTATGAGAAGTACTAGAAAATGCCTGATGAGCATTTCATATGCTGGCAGCCTGGCTGGCTAGATGCAAGCTCTGACAAGGGCAAGGACTATCTCAGAGCCTCAAAGCACAGGGAGGTGCCCAACATGCACGTGCTAAGTAAATCAGAGTAGGAACAGGTGAGGAAAGGAACAAGGACAGCAGGGGATTGGGTACTGAAGGAGGCACCTGTGTGGCTTCTCTGAGACGGTAGCACACATCCTCAGCGAGAAGGGCTGCCACTTCGTCACTCAACTCCAGTCCTGTACTCTCTGCCATGAGGCGGACTGACTCCCGAGGGATCTCCACAAATCGCCGCTCTTCTCGCTCTGACATGGCCCCAGTGGAGCTGGGAGTAAAGTCGGAAGATTTTAAACGCTGCCCCCAGTATGCCTGAGAATCTAGGAGGACAAGTCAAGACCTCTCAACCAGTCTTGCTGCTCTTGCACCACAATCCCTGAAGAGGGAGCTCAGAATACCCAGATGAGGAAAATGAGTTTTAGGGAAGAAAATAGGCAGGTCAGTGAGCAGACAATAGGGAAGCTAGGGAAAATGCCTGCCCTTTGGGTCCACAGAATTGTGCTCTGCCATTTACTATGTGAACCTGGCTAGGACCTTCATCAGTCCGAGCACTGTATTCCAAATAGGGGCAATAATCTCTGCCCTAACTTACTGTGCCCTAACTTACTGTAAAGATAAAATGAGATGATATCTAAGAAAATCAGGAACTAGAACACAACTCCAGGGCTGCAGGTGTAATTTAGTGGTAGAATGCCTGCTTAGCATGCAAAAGGCCCTGGTTTCCACCCCTACACACACACACACACACACACCCCACACACACCCCTACACACACACACACACACCTACACACACACAAACACACAAAAGAACCACCACCACAAAGGGAACACTACACCAATGAACAATGTCATCATTATTAACTACAAACAAAAATTTCATGTCCTCTTTTCATTCTTACTACACCCACCATCAACTAAATTTTTATGAAAAGACTTTAATCCTCACACTGCATTGCTAAAATATATGTCTCATGTTCCTCCATTGCTTATGAAAAAAGACCAAACTTCCTGGTTTGACATATTACTTTTGGTCCCAAATCCCCACATCTGTTCACACTGATCCCTCCTCTAGTAAACCAGGCTAGTGTCTTCCCACCTTGCCTCAGGCACTTCTACCAGGCTTTTGCTCAGACTGACTTCCCTCCCTCTCCTCTTGGTAAGACAAACCCAGTCTCTGGGATCTTCGGTACCATATGACATCTGGGCCAGCCAGGCTTTTAGAAGTTTGGCTTTTTGCCCATGTGTCTGGTCTTCCCCATTTTGGCTGCAAGGCCTGGATGCAGGAACCTGTTGTGTTCACAGGATATGGCAGAATAAGAACCTAACAAAAACAGACATGACGGCTCACTCCAACAATGCACACTGCAGCTGGAAGGTAGATGCACACACAATTCAAAGTGAGACAACAGTACCTCAGGCAGCAAAGCCTGGTTCCAAGGTGACCCACCCAGACACTGCTCCCACTACTCACTGGTTCTCTTTTTATATTTTTTTTTTTGTTGTTGTTGATTTACCTTTATTTATTTATATGTGGTGCTGAGAATCGAACCCAGTGCCTCAAACATACTAGGCAAGTGCTCTACCACTGAACCACAACCCCAGCCCCAAGACTCTTGTTTTTTATCCCTAAGTGCAATGAGCTTCCTACTTGGCTTCTACAGCTCTCTTCTCGATGGCTCTCAATTACTTTTGAAATAAAGAAAATCTCTGGCCCATGTCCCAGAGTCTGCATTTACCTGCCTACACTTATTCAAGTTTTCTCTTTTGTATTCTTCATTCCCACCCATGTCCCCCTTTTACTTCCTCAAAACATTTTATTTCAGGACCTTTGAATGTTATTCTGCTTTGAAGTCTCCTCGTCTTCTACCCTGACCTCTTTGTCTAGTGAACTCCTACTCATTCCTTTAGATCTCAGTTCAAATGTTACTTTCTCCAGGAAGTTTTCCCAAATTCTCTGCATGTTCTTGTACTCTGTCTTCAAGACAGTTATAAAAGTTTGTAGAAGCCAGGTATGGTAGCTCATGCCTGTAATCTCAAACCCTGTCTCTAACTTAAAAATAAAAAGGGCTTGGGACCGGGCTGGGGCTGTGGTTCATCTCATTGGCAGAGCACTTACTTGCCTGGCACAAGTGAGGCACTAGGTTCGATCCTTAGCACTACATAAAAATAAACAAAATAAAGATATTAAAAAAAAAAAAAAGGCTGGGGACATGGCTCAGTGGTTATGCACCCTGAGTTCAATCCAGGCACCACCCCTTCCAAAAAAAGTTTGTAGACATTTGTGTGACTTTTTAATTAACACCTACCTACCCACTAAACTATGTAAGCTCCATGGCAGCCAGGACCATGTCTGTTTGCTCACCTTTGCATCCCAAGTATCCAGCAATGTCACCACATACTAGGCCTTCAATAAACACTTGCTGAAAGAAGGAAGAAAGAATGGCTATTTTACTAAGCACATAAATTGCCTGAAGCACTGAGTAAACACTATGTCCGGATTACCTTATTGGATCCTTCTTGACAATGATATACATGTTATACATGTTGTTATCTCACAGCCAAGGTGATCAAACCTGAGAGAGCTTAACGTTACAGGGCTTACCCAAGATGATCCAGTGAGCGCTAGCTAGTAGGAAGCAAGGATTCACACCCCTTTTCCTAATCATTCCACAACACTGCACTCAGGTGCTGCCAGCTTGTGTGGGGAAGAAAACCTAGATTCGCAACCCAAAGAAACTGGTGTTGGAGACCCACCACTCGGCGACCCTCGATCCTCCAATCAGTTTCCACATCTGTAAAATGGGAGCACTAAGTCTTGCCTTGCCGGCGTTTCCCTATTATAGGTCCCTATTGGGACCCCGTAAGATATGGCCTGTGACCAAGGTCTTTCGCTCCTCAGCCTCCTCTCCTGCCCATCCCCAGCCACTCTGGAAGGAGGCGGGGACACTGACCTCCACGTTCCAGCCGAGATCCGTCCTCCCACCCAGCCCGGCTCACCCCAGGCACTGAGGGCTTGGGGTGGGGTAGGAGGTCAAGGTTCACGAACTTGGATCACGTGTACAGGGAAGTGGGCGGGCCCCAGCACCTGAAGGGAGCAGCCTGCGGAGCGACTGGGAGCCCTTGGACTCGGCCAGGCCAGCTCACCTGAGGGCTTCGCGTGGCGAGGGCAGCTACCGAGGCGTGGGCGGTGGAGGCAGCTCCCACTCACCCCGCTCGCACTAATTCCCTCTCTCCGCGCCCCGGCACCACCCTCCACGAGCCCAGCCAATCGCCGGCCGTCTGGAGAAGTTCCCGCCCTCCGGGAGCCTTCCCGCCACGTGATTAGCCTGTGAGGAAGCGAGGCGCGGACGCTGGGCGCCGGAAATCACGTGATGCTGAAGGCTCCAGCTTCTTAAAGCAACAGCTCTCGCTAGTTTGCGAAGCAGGTGTGTATGGTTTGGCATGCATTGAATAAACATGTCCTCTAATCCCAGCTACTCAGGAGGCTGAGGCAGGAAGATCGCAAGTGCAAGACTGAAGCGAACCTCAGCAGCTTGGTGAGCCCCTGTCTCAAAACAAAAAATAGAGGTGTAGGGATGTAGTTCAGCGGTAGGACTGAAATACATTGGACTGGGTCCAATCCCCAGTACCAAAAAACAAAAATATTCTTGTGGAAAAGCATTTCCATTCCCTTGATTTTTGTCTGCTCCCCAGTTTACGACCACTTTCAATTTCGCGACTATAGGAAAAAGCTTCAGACTTTGGTGTCTGGCTTAATTTTCCTGCTCAACCTCCCTCTCCAACATCACCTAACCTGCCTCTTCCGCTTCCTGAAAGGTAAGTGGGGCTTCTGGCAGCTGTTCCCTGCCGACACAAGAAACTTTTGACAGGGCCAAACACTGGTGCAAGCTTTGAATTCTGTCCAGTGAGCCAAATATACGTCCTCACCTGCCTCCATACTTCTTGACCAATTTACAGAACCATCCAACCCTTATAACGCCCTTTTCTCACCTCCCATTATGACTAAAGCCACTCCGTTCTCAACTGATAAACAGTGGGCTTACTGAATAAAGGACGGTATTTGGGATCACCGACTTGAGTTCCAATTTCTGACACGCCTTGGGGAAAATTACCTAACCATGTTTTCCCGCATATACAAACTGAGGTAGCAATGCCCGCCTCCTAAGTTTGTTGTAGATTAAATAATGTCTGTGAAAGCACCTGGCGAGAGGGGGGATTGAACTGCCATTAACACATCACAAGGGAGATAGTGAATTGCTCTACTAAGTTCACCCAAGATGGGGTAGTTTGCAGGGGGCTTTTCTCCCTACCCCTCCCCTCCACACACTGCAGTTTGAACCAGGGGCACTCTACCACTGAGCTAACCCACATTCCTTCCTATTTTTTTGAGACAGGGTCTTGATAAATTACTGAGGCTGGCCTCTGGAGTCGCTTAGATTAAAAGACTGTAACACCAAACCTGGCTTAATTCGTTTTTCATCTTTATTATTTATTTAAAAATTATTTGTAGTGTATAGGATTGAACCCAGGGCATTCTACCACTGAGCTACACTTCCAGCTCTTTTATTATTTTAGTTCTAGAAGGGCACTTTCTGCAGGGGAATATGTGTGTATATAGCCTCCTCACCCTTCCTCTTTCTCAGGGCTAGATGCTCTTGTCTAGAAAAGAAAATCCTCTGGGACTTGGTGCTGTGAAAACCTGATGGATGTAACTAGGGTTGCTATAGCAACCCCATCTGAGGAGACTGACTCCACTTAGTCTCTTCCAGTTATATTCAAAGTAACATTGGAGTGGTTTCCTTCTTCAATGCTGAGTGTCTGTCCTCCTCTGTGAAAGGAAGGAGAAAGGAGGCCCTCCCTCCTGAAGGTCTGAATTTGATTGTCAGCTCAGCCTCATTTGGGCTGCTGGTGGATCACCTAAGGTTTATTGGTCTGGACAGCCAGTGGCAGCCACCAGCTCAGGTGCATTATATAAACCATACAATAAAATTATGGGGGGAAGCCACAACCATATACTTCCCATTCAAAGGGACATGGCCTATGTCTTCCTGACAGAATTACAGTTTCTCATGTCTGACTCAGGCATGAAACTTAACGGGGGCATAACTGAACCCAGATTTGACAGATTAGTCAGAAGCAAATAGGCAAGCTGGAAAAGGGCACTTCAACGTGGAGAAATAATCTTGTGGTTTGTTTTAAATTGTAGATGGAGGGGCTGGGGATGTGGCTCAAGCGGTAGCGCACTCGCCTGGCATGCGTGCGGCCCGGGTTCGATCCTCAGTACCACATACAAAGAGGTTGTGTCCGCCGAAAACTAAAAAATAAATATTAAAAATTCTCTCTCTCCCTCCCTCTCTCACTCTATCTTTAAAAAAATAAATAAATAAATTGTAGATGGACACAATACCTTTAATTAATTAATTTTTATCTGGTGCTGAGGATCAAACCCAAGTCCTCACATATGCTGAGCAAGTGCTCTACCACTGAGCCACAACCACAGCCCATCGTGTTTGTTTAATCTTGTAGGCATTTCATGTATTTTTTGTGACCCTGATTATAAACTCTTTTGCATAGCATGTGTGAAGCACTGGGTTCGAGTCTCAGCATTGCATATAAATAATAGTTCCATCAACAACTAAAATATTTAATAAAAATAAATAAAAGGGCTGGTGATATAGCTCAGTGGTACAGTTCCCATTTCAATTCCCCAGTACCAGGCTGGGGATGTGGCTCAAGCAGTAGCACGCGGCCCAGGTTCGATCCTCAGCACCACATACAAACAAAGATGTTGTGTCCGCAGAAATATAAAGAATAAATACTAAAAAATTCTCTCTCTCCCCCTCTCTCTTTAAAAAAAAAAAAACAATTCCCCAGTACCACAAAAAATAAAAGGGATGTGTTGGGACTCTGTAATCTGCGCTATTACTCTTCTCTGGTTAATTTCTCCTTATCTGTTGTTTCTTCCCCCCATTCCCTCTTATACTCTTGGACCTGTTTAAGGTCATGGGAAAGGCAAACACTCTGATACTAGATTAGGACTCAGAATGGCTGTGATGATGGTTTTCATTTACTGAAAGTCAATGATCCAATATCAGTTTGCCTACAATGAGGTTAACTTCAGGCCTTAGCAAAAGGGTTTGTTAAATCCCCTGTGTGGCCAAGGACAGTTGCAACATCAGGCCAAGGAAAAGGTCTAGTGAGTAACTGGCTAATGACCTTTTTAAAGAGTGTTGCTCCTACCCAAAAAAGAATATGAGAGCTGGGAATATAGCTCAATTGGTAGAGTGTTTGCCTTGCATGTACAGGGCCCTGGGTTCAATTCCCAGCACCAAAAAATAAAACAAAACAAAACCAAAAAAAGAACATGACACTTGCATGAGAACCAATGACCTTTTATAGTTAGAACACAGAGTCAAGCAACAGCTAAACTGGAAGAAGCACCAGATGTCTTCAGGGACAAAGAACCTTCCTTGCTTCCCCCAACAACAGCCAGAGGGAGTCTCTAGACAACTCAGCAAGTATTAAAGCAACGTTTTGTAGATCAAGATCACACATGGTAGGAGGCTCCCATGCTCAGCTCACAAGCCCTGTGAAAACAGGAAAGGTACATCAGTTACACCCAGAGCTCAGGGGCAGCCACAACCACCTACTTCCCATCCCAAGGGCACAGGTCCTAGATCTTCCAAGCAGACAGAATAAAAATTTCTAATGTCTCTGTCCCAGACATTAAATCCTACACCCACTTCCCTCTCCTACACACCCAATCTCCAGGAAACAGCCCTGTCACCACAAATCAGGCACTCACCCAAGTAATCATCCATCAGGGAGCCAATGGCAAACTGTAGGAAAGAAAATAAACATGAAACCAGGACAAGGCAAGAGCAGAACCTCCTCTACCCCACAAGCCCCAGGTCTTCTGCCACCCAGAACACCACAGAACCCCACCCCCTCCCCCAGAACTGTGGGTGGTAAAGAAGTCCACAGCATTCAGTTCTGCCTGGTATGGCTATGGTAGGCAAGAGACTCACAATGTCGTTCTTGTCCACGCGGGTCCCCACAATCTTCAAGCGGATGTCATCCTCCTGCTGAATCACAATGTCCTAAGAAGAGGAGACAACAGTGTACTCAGACATTCCCAGGGCAATCCTCTTCCCTCAGCCTGGCCTATTCCCCCCCTCTGCCTTCCTCCTACCCACTCACCTCATCCATTGTCTTGTAACATGGTGGGTTAGAATTAGGATCAAATTCCATCTCTGATGGGATGGACTGAAAGGAAAAGTGATACTTGTCAGCACTTTGCTTATTTATTTTTGTGGTGCTGGGGATCAAATCCAAGGCCTCACATATGCTAGACAAGTGCTCTACCACTAAGCTATACCCCCAGCCTGTGAATAGACAATCATATCCCCTCCCCCCACCTCAGCCACTGCTTTTTGACATAGGGTCTTGCTAAATTGCCCAGGCTGGCTTCAAATTGCCATCCTGACTCAGCCTCCCTAGTAGCTGGGATTACATACGCATACCACAGAGCCAGGCCGGGTCAGCATTTTTTTTTTTTTAAACTCTTGGGGATTAAACCCAGGGAAGCTTTACCACTGAGCTACTTCCCAAGGCCTTTTTTTTTTTTGAGACAGGCTCTTACTAAGTTGCTGAGGCTGACCTCAAATTTGCAATCCTCCTATCTCAGCCTCCTGAGTCCCTGGGATTACAGGCACATGCCACCACACCCAGCTGCACTGAATGTTTCAGTAGATGGTCATGATTGGGTGTCTCTTCCTTAGCCCCACCCAACGTGTCTAGACTTACATGTCGAGAAATGAAGCAAGACATGGGCCCAATTTCTGTGAAGAGTCCAACCTAGGAGGAAAATTAATAATCATTCTTTCCTTTTTTCTCTCAAATCCTTAAGTTTTCGGATGTCCCCAAAAGCTCACATTAGACAATCATTAGGTGCAATGATCGGGCTGTAAGCTTTAACCTAATCAGTATGTTATTCCACTTGAATGGACGAACAGGGTGGTAACTGTAGGCAGATAGGATGTGGCTGAAGGAGGTAGGTACTGGGAATGTGCTTTGGGGGCTTCTATCTTTTCCCTGTTGAGTGGAACTCAGCTTCCGGATTGCATTCTCCTGAACTGCTTTCCTCCTCCACTCCCTTCTGCCATTGTGTTCTGCTTTATCCGGGCCCAGAGCAACAGAGGTGGTTGTCTGTGGACTGAGACCTCTAAAACCACAAGGGCCAAATAAACTTTTCCTCCTCTAAAATTGCTCTGACAAGACCACCATTTTTATCTGTATCCAGTCTGAACTGCAACATTTGCTTTTTTTTTTTTTTTTAATTGATTCCAGTATTGAACCCACAGGCACTTTACCACTAAGCTATATCCCCTTGTTTTGAGAATCTCACTAAGTTACTAAGGCTGGCCTTGAACTTATGATACTCCTGTCTCAGCTTCCAGAGTAGCTGGGATTATAGGTATGTGCCACCATGCCCAGCTCTGTGTCTTTTTTTTTTTTTTTTTAAAGAGAGAGAATTTTAATATTTATTTTTTAGTTTTCGGCGGACACAACATCTTTGTTTGTATGTGGTGCTGAGGATCGAACCTGGGCCGCACGCATGCCAGGCGAGCGCGCTACCGCTTGAGCCAAATCCCCAGCCCCTCTGTGTCTTTTTTTGACCCTTCATTTTACTGTTTTTCCCCTTCCCATGTGGGGGATTAAACCCAGGGCCTCATGTATGCTAGACAAATACTGTACCAGTGAACTACATCCCCTACACCACCCTGTCTCACTAAGTTGCTGAGGTTGACCTCAAACTTGCTATCTTCCTACCTGACCTCCTAAATTGCTGGATTACAGGCCTGTAATGAAATGAAAGGCCCAGAACCACCTTTCATTTAAATTAAGCAAATATAGTGTAATTGTAAAGAATTTAAACCTAGGACTTATTAGCCCAAGATATAAACCCTTGTTGGCCACAGAGTCTTGGCCAGTACATTTCTCTAAGCTTCAGTGTCTGTAAACAGAGATAGAAACACAGTCACTGTGGGGCTTTGAACAATACTTGGTCCACAGTAACTACTCAGTCAATGTAGGCTCCTGTTGTAATTATTCACATTGACTCACATGCCCTTGAGTATTTTGACAGGTACAAAGAAGTGACTTGACTAAGGTACAGAGTTAGTAAGTGGAATGAGGACGCATCTTAGAATTCCTGAGGACACACACCATGGCCTCCTATGAGTGTTCTTACCTTATTGACCTGAGTGACCACAGCATCCACAACCTCGCCTTTAAAAGGCCGGAAAACAATGGCCTTGTACTTAACTGGATAAAGAACAAAGCCCCGGCCTGGCTGGATTACACCAGCACCAATGTTGTCGATGGTGGTGACAGCAATTACAAAGCCATACCTACAAGGAAGACAAAAAGAGAAAGGCACTGTATTACAAGAGCCTCTAAAGCCATCTGCAGCAACAGTCACTGAGCCTGAGGGGACAAGGGGGAAAGTTGTCACCTCTGACCCTCAGAGTTTAATGGCCAAGAGAAAGGATACAGATAAATATTTGTCAGCTCAAATGCTGCTTTCAAAATTTTACAACAAATGTCCAAGAAGAAAGCCGTACTGAGTTAATGGACCTCAATCTTTGTTATGCCTCAGAATCACCTGGGAGGAACTTTTTTTTTTAAGAATTTTTTAATGTTTATTTATTTATTTTAGTTTTCGGCAGACACAACATCTTTGGTTGTATGTGGTGCTGAGGATTGAACCCGGGCCGCACGCATGCCAGGCGAGCGCGCTACCGCTTGAGCCACATCCCCAGCCCCAAGGGAGGAACTTTTTATATGAAGATTCTCGGGAATTATTATGAAAAATACTCTAAATCAAGGTATCTATACTTGTACAACTGGGGAAATTTTTGTAGAGTCCTTAATTACTGTCCTTGACATATTTCAGGTCATCATTTTCCTTATCTGGTGTGCAAAATAAAACATCAGAAAATAAAGTATACTGGTTTTTATTTTGAGAGTCTCACTAAGTTGCTAAGGCTGGCCTTGAACTTATGATACTCCTGTCTCAGCTTCCAGAGTAGCTGGGATTATAGGTATGTGCCACCATGCCCAGCTCTGTGTCTTTTTTTGACCCTTCATTTTACTGAGAAGTTAAAAAAAAAAAAAAAAATGAAGATTCTCCTGAAGGCTCTCAGGCAGTCCTGATTCTATAGGGAAAAAAGCAGCTCAAGAACCAGCATGATCAAGAACTGCCCCAGAAACTGGGTGCAGTGGTGAATGCCTATAATCCCCAGCAGCTTGGAAGGCTGAGGCATGGGTTCAAAGCCAGCCTCAGCAACTCAGTGAGACCACGTCTCTAAATAAAATACAGAAAAGGGCTGGGGATGTTGCTCAGTGTTAAGAGCTGAGCTCTGGTTTCAATCCCTGGTACCAAAATAATAATAATAATAATAATATAAAATTTAAAGAGGTCTAGGTGTGACTCAGTAGTTAAGCACCCAAGTTAATCCCCAGTACTAAACAAACAAACAAACTGCCCAGCTATGTTGCTCAGTGATAAAAGACCGCTGGAATCAATCCCCAGTATGGCAAAAAGAAAGCAAGAAAAGAAAAACAAACTTGTTAAGAAAATAAATCTTTAAAAATTTTAAAAAGAACAGCCTGTCAGGCATGGTGGAAATCCCAGACACACAGAAGCCTGAGGCAGGAGGATCACAAGTTCATGGCCAGTCTAATCAAATTAAAGAGGCCCTCGGGGTGGATTGCAAGTTCAAAGCCAGTTCCCACAACATAGTGAGACCCTGTCTCCAAATTAAAAAAAAAAAAAAAAAAACAAGAGCCAATGATGTGGCTCAGTGATTAAGCACCCCCCGGTTCAATCCCCATACCAAAAAGCCCCCAAAACTAAACATAAAAGGAACAGCCCTAGGTTATTCTGATATTCTGATGCTGGAAGCCCAGACTCTACTATCCTGGACTGAATCCCAGCCCACTCATAAGGGTCTGTGGGAGACCCTTCTGTGCAAAACTCAAAGAAGTCAAGTCTCAACCCTATTCCTTCTCATAAACTCTCGTTGTGTTTTTTCAGATCATTCATTCAGGAAACACTGAGGCCCATGATGTGCCATGCCAGGTTCCCTGGGCACAGGGTATAGAGAAACCCAGCAGAATCACAGAAGAGCACACACAGGAACAATGATTAAACTCTGAGCTCTACGAGGACTAGCCTAATTCTGTTTTCAATGCATGTTTGCAGGATCCAACATACGCCCTGACACACAACAGGAGCTTTTAAAGTGTTTGCAGACTAAAGGAAAAGTCCAATCTCGACTGAGGGAAGTCTCATTATCCAATTTTGCAGAGGACGCCTTGGGAAGGAAGCAACTGGCTGCCTGGGGCCTGGGAGGGTGAGAGGGCTTCCCAGAGTGGGTTGCACGGCCTTACAAGATGAGTAGGAATTAGGTAGAGAGTTGTTGGCTTGGGGCACTGTGTGCGCAAAGACCTTACAGCGCGATGGGAGCAAACTTACTTTCCGGTGCAGGTTCCCTCCACCTCGGTGAAAAGCTTCTGCTTCACGGTATTGAGCAAGTTGGGGCCGAAGTAGCGCGGGTGCAGCAGGATCTCGTGCTCCAGGGAGATCTGCAGTGAAAGGAGAATGGAGACCGGGCCAGGAGCGGCGAGGGCAAGGGGCGAGAAGAGGCGCCCAGCCTCGCTGCACCTCGAGACCCAACCCTCGTCGCCACCCGGCGCCTACTCACGTGGTAGAACATCTTTGCTGAGGAGGTTGGACTGAGGCGTCCACACCTGGGACAACAACTTATCTGTCTCCTCCGGAAGCGCACGCTACAACCACAACCTCGCTTCCGGGTCCCTGCGCCGATCTGATTGGACCTCGCTGTAGTGGGCGGGGACTCGTTAAGCTCTGTCCCTGAAGCGCCGCCCCACGGCGGGCTTTCAAAACTCAGATCCGTGTAAAGTAGCCTGTAGTAGATGCTCAGTAAATACTTTTCCCCCCATATTTTTATTGGTGCATTATAATGGTGGGATTCGTTGTTACATATGCGTAAATGCTCAGTAAACACTTTTAATAAGCTTTATTAGTGAAAATAACATAATTAAAGACTTTAATGCACCCAAGGGTTGTAGTCACTCAGGACTGGAATTCAAATTCAAGGCGCTTGCAAATTCAGGCATTCCGAATATTTACGCATTCAATCATTCCTTCAACAAACATTTACTGAGCACTCACTACATGACTTGCTCCCTGGAGAGGAAACCTTATTATTGTACTCCTGGGGCGCGCGGGCGCACGCACCAGAGTGGGGCTGGGTTGTGGGGGGATGCTACAGAACTGAGAATCCCTTATCTGTACCCTCTCAACTCTGCGCTTTCTCCCACCTCTCCCCCTTTCCAGGCCAGCCTCCCTGCAAGGACCTAATCTGCTGACGTTCAATGTGCTGGAGCTGGCTAGTACTGGGTAGCAATAACCAATCCCTAAAATTTCAGGAATTAAGCAAGCTGTTCTTTAAACACAGCCATTATTCAAAAGTAAATCATTTGCCCGGCATGGTAGTGCGCGCCTTTTATCGTAACTCAGAAGACTGAGGCAGGAGGATGGCAAGTGCTTGGCCAGCCTAGACAATTTAGCGCATAACTCAGCAAGGTAGGGAGAATCTATCTTAAAATAAAAAATACAAATAATAAAAATACAAATAGGGCAGGGGATGTGGCTCAGTGGTCGAGTGCCCCTGAGTTCTATCCCTGGTACCCGCCTCCAAAAATAATAAAAATAAAAAGCATTGGAAATGTAGCTCAGTGGTAAAGCACCCTGAGTTCATTCCCCAGTCCCAAGAAGAGAGAGGGGGTAGGGGGAGAAGGGGGTGGGGCGGGAGAAAGGAAGTATATACTCAAAACTGATCACTTCCTAGTTACTTTACCTATTTACTATTGTAAGTGTGGGTTTTTTCTTTTGGTGTTTGTTTGTTTGTAGTGCTAGAAATCAAACCCAGTAGGGTTTTACTTTTAAGATACATCTCCAGATAGTTTTGTTTTTAAATTTAAAAAAAAAATAGTTGTAGTTGGACATAATACCTTTATTTTATTTATTTATTTTTATATGGTGCTTGAGGATCAAACCCAGGGCTTCACTTATGCTAGATGAGGCTCTACTGCTCAGCCACAACCCCAACCCATTAAATTAATTTTGAGACAGTGTCTTCAAATGCCTCAACTAGCGTCAAAATTGCAAACCTCCTACCTCAACCTCCTGAGTTGCTGATATGATAGGCTTACTGACACTGCCCTATTCAATTATCAGTGTTCTTGAGGTATTTGTATTTATTGTATCTGTGTGGTATATTATATAATTTATGTGTCAGAGTTCTGGTTGTTCTAATGTCTTCTTCATCAGCACTAATCTGCAGCATTTTTATTAGTTTGGTTTATTTGGACTTCTAAGATGCTTTGAATCTTTGGAGTAAAGATTGACCTTTTATATGCTAATGAGATGAATGGTGATTAGGGGCCCCTAGGGTAGCTTCAGGGTGGAGACTGATCACCAAAAAGACCAAGGCAGCTTGGTAGCTGGATGTGGTGGCAAACGCCTGTAATAACAACAACTGGGGAGGCTGAGATAGGTAGATCACAAGTTAAAGGCCAACCTCAGCAATTTAAAGAGGACTTGTCTCAAAATAAAAAATAAACAATTAAAAAAAAAAAGACCTGGGGAGGGATGAGGTTGTGGCTCAATGGTAGAGCACTTGCCTGGCATATGTGGGGTACTGGGTTTGATTCTCAACACCACATATAAATAAATAAATAAAATTAATGTCCATTGACAACTAAATATATATATTAAAAAACAAAAAAGTTATGAAAAATGGTGTTTTGAATGCATAATTATGATTGTAATGCATTCCACTATTGTCATGTATGTAAGAGAAAAAAAAAAAAGCCTGATGCAGTAGCGCATGACGGTAATCCCAGGTAATCCCATCCACTCAGGAGGCTGAGGCAGGAGGATCATGAGTTCAAAGCCAGCCTCAGCAATGGCAAGGCGCTAAACAAACTCAGTGAGACCCTGTCTTTAAATAAAATATAAAATAGAGCTGGAGATGGGCTGGGACTGTGGCTCAGTGGTAGTGCACTTGGCTTCCATGTGTGAGGCATTGGGCTCGATTCTGAGCATCACCTATAATTAAATAAAATAAAGATCTATGAACAGCTAAGAGAAAAAATGTTTTAAAAAAATAGGGCTGGGGATGTGTTTGAGTGCCTCTGAGTTCAATGCCTTGTATTGCACCCCTACCCCGCCAAAAAGGCCTTCTCTTCAAAGTCTGTGTCTGAGAACTTAGGATAGCAGGTTTCAAAGGGTGGTCTGGGACAGAAACTTTCTATTTTGGGGAGGGTGGATGGGTACTGGGAATTGAGCCCCTGGGTGCTTTACTACTGAGCTACATCCTCAACTCTTTTTCTATTATTTTTTAATTTTATTTTTGGTACTGGGGATTGAACTCAGGGACACTTGATCACTGGGTCACGTCCCCAGCCCTATTTGTATTTTATTTAAGCCAGGGTCTCACTGAGTTGCTTAGCCCCTTGCCATTGCTGAGACTGGCTTTGAAATCAATATCTACCTGCTTCAGCCTCCTGAGTCACTGGGATTACAGGCATGTACTATCGTGCCTGGCCCTTTTTTTATTTAAAAAAACAATTTTTTAAAGCATTCTTGTGGGCTGGGGACATAGTTCAGTTGGTAGAGTTTGTTTGCCTCACATGCACAAGGCCCTGGGTTCAATCCCCAGCACCACATAAATAAATAAGTAAGTAGATAGATAGGTGATAGATAAACAAACAAACCATTCTTTTCCCCCCAATCTTTATTTTATTTATTTATTTATTTATTTATTTTTATGTGTTGCTGAAAATCAGATGTGCTAGGCAATCACTCTACCACTGAGCCACAAAACCAGCCACTTCTTTTTTATTTTGAGACAGTCTGGCTAAATTTCCCAGTCTGCCTCCAATTTGTGATCCTCCTGACTCATCCTTCCAATTAACTGAGATTATAGGTGTGCCACTTCTGATTCAGTCCTGAAAGACAATTCCAAAAAATTGATGGGATCCTCTTCAGTTACATATCTGTGAGATCAGATTTTCTTCATGTACTCAAATCAAAACAATATATCAGCAGGGTGTGGTGGTACCCACCTATAACCCTAGAGGCTTGGGAGGCTGAGGCAGGAGGATCACGAGTTCAAAGCTAGCTTCAGCACCTCTCATTGAGGTGTAAACCAATCAATGAGACTCAGTCTCTAAATAAAAGAAAATAGAGCTGGGCATGTGGCTCAGTGGCTGAGTGCCCCTGAGTTGAATCCTTGGTACCAAAACAAACAAAAACAAAAACAAACAATATATCATAATAGATGAAAGCAGAAACAGATGTGAAAATCTAGCTTTCTTCTATTAACCTAGATATTACAGAGATGTGAAAAAATGCAAATCAATGTCACTTATTCTCACTACAGATTTTTTATTTGGTAAATAAAGTTATTTTTCACCAAAAAATGAAAATATTAGGGCTTTGGCACCTATAGTTCAGTAGTAGAGTATGTGCTTAACATGAGCAAAGCCCTGGGTCAAATCCCTAGCACCCTCCCCCCCAAAAAAAAACCCCACCAGTATTGGCTTATTGTCATCATTTTGTAATGGATTAATACTTTTTTTAATATGATTTGTGAGAATGGGTAGAGTAGAGGTGTGATCTCAAGCTAAGATGCTTGTATCTATCACAAGAATGCTGGATAGAGGAACTCTCTATAATTCTGGTTGGGTCTGTTTGGAGGTTTGATTCAAGAACAAAATGGAAGTGCTTGGTGTGGTGGGTGAAGGAGATGGGAGGACTGAGATACTTCTCTGAAAATGCTGTCAACCACATTGCTGCTGGAGTCAGACTGGAGCCAGGAAAACACCAACTCACAGTTTATAGCCCGTTCCTCTGCATGTCTGGAAACTGAAATATTCTGAGATTTCTTCAGAAGTAGCCATGTTTTAATTTAATTTATTTTCCATGGCATTGGGGATTAAACTCATGGACACTCAGCTGGTGAGCTACATCCCTAGCCACACCGCCACCCCTTTTTTAAAATTTTAGACAAGGTCTTGCTTAATTGCCAAGGCTGGCCCTGGAACTTGAGATCCTGCTGCCTCAGCCTCAATCGCTGGGATTACAGTAGTATCCATGGTGCCTGGTACCCAGCCCTTTTTAATTTTGAGACAGAATCTTGCTAAATTGCCCAGGCTGGCCTCGAATTTGCCATCCTTTACTGGGATTAAAGTCGTGCACCAGGGCGCCCTGCTAGAAGTAGCCACATTTTTAAAAAAATATTTATTTATTTTAGTTGTACACAATACCTTTGTATTTATTTATTTATATGTGGTGCTGAGGATGGAACCTAGGGCCTCGCATGCGCTAGGCGGGTGATATACCACTGAGCCACAATCCCAGCCCTAGAAGTAGCCACACTTTAAAAAT